AAATCCATGAATTAAAACCTTGACAGCTTGGCACAGAGCAACTGGTACAAACAAGTGTAAAGCAGCAACAACCAATTTTAAACACCATCTTTTGCTAGTACAGTAGCAGATCAAATAGATTTAAGAATTAAATATGTACACATGTATATATTTAATGCATGTAAAAATGGGCCAGGGCTCCCTTCACATGATCGCAGCTGCATCCTGCCTTTTCTGGGCCCCCCTGTAGATGCCCTGCTTTCTTCCAGTTGCTAGGCAACATATAGAGAGAGCAGCCAATTAGGACTGAATGAGGCTTGTATGACACTTCTTACCATATACTTTACAACTCCAGGAAGAAAGCTTGCACTTTCTTTGCATGATCCTAACATGTATGTGACATTGTTACTGTTACATAAAAGTTTCTCTCTCTTTCTCTCTCTCTTTTTTCTTTCTTAAAAACAAAGACAGTAATAGGAGATCCACTTGGGAAGCAGAGGACATTGGATGATAAAGAGTTGCTCCATATTTTTCTGCTCAACTTTCCACACTGTCACAAACTTTTTCTTGTTTCTCTCAAGGAAAAGATTCCAGTCCCCTTACTAACTTCCATTCAAGGAGTAAATCTGCTGAGAGATGTGCACAAAAAGCAGTGAACAAGCCCTCACCCTTTGCGACTTTTGCTTAAATTTGCAGCCTCCTCTACATACTTTTTATTTTTTAAAAAACAAATGTCAGCAGAAAAACAGGGATCTTCTCAAATGGTTGCATCCTCTAAACCAGATCTTCATGGCTAACTGCATTCTGAACAACAGTATAGATGACACGTTAAAAAATATTGGTTTCAGTTCAGTGATCAGCTTGGTTGCAGAATCCACTAGAGTGATTCTGTAGCCTCCAGCAGGAATACGTTCCATCATTCAACGTCTCTGTTGGGTGGGGAGCTCAAAACTTCTAGTACGTCAGGAGGCAGATCAAAGTTCATTCAGTGAGTGATTATTACTGGATGTAGCTCAAGTTTTGAAAGAATCAGTTATGAAGTGAGATCCTTGACAAATGTGTTGATCTTGCCAGGACAAATATAATAAACCTAAAAGCTCCTGAGCAAAGTGCTAGTTGGTAGCACTGTGACTGTAACCCATGTGTGTATGTTTTAAAACAATAGCTCCAGTGAGTTTCCTACAAATCTTGGAATAACAAGTATGATGGATCATATGTCAGAACGTATGCATAATTTTCCACCAACTTACTTACCAAAGGCCTAAAGACAGCATAACTGCAAGTTTTAACACCGGAAATGTATTTGATGGGAATTAAATAGGATTAAATAGGAATTGCTTTTCATGGGGAGAATTTTCCTCCACTCAGAAAGACACATGGCAACCCTCCTCTGGTTCCCTAGGCAGTTTTGCAACCCTTTAAATGCTTTTTTCTCTACTTTGAAAAAGAATAGCTGGAAATTTAGTCTCTGAGGTTATATTCCTCTGCTATTGGTTTCAATTTTTAAAGTCAAATATACTATAAAAAAATCTATGTTAAACTTTCTTACTATGAAAAATGTCCACTTTATTTCTACTTCTGTTTTCACCTACCAAGGAATTTGTTTTTTTACCCAAGAATGCAGCTGGAAATATTTTCCAAACTAAGAGATCAATTACTATTTGTTTCTTCATTTCAGTGACCCTTGGGCCAATCCCAGAACAATCAGAAATGTTCAGAGCCTAACTTGAATGCTTGCATACTTTACCCACATCCAATTTCAACACTCTACTGGATTCACACAACAGGCAAGTCCATAGATAGTTTTACGTATGATTCGTTGAACAAGCCATAGTCCCATGGTTCACTCATAATTTCAAGCTATAAAGATACTTTACTGATTACAGCAGCTGGGTTCAAATATCATGCTATACTGAATCAAATCCACCACCTAACGCCCTAATGTGCTGCAGCGAAGAAAATATAAAGCCTTAATAAGGACTATGTCCTCCGGAGGTGTTACACAGATGTACAAAAGGAATAGCGGTTGCATTGTGATGCTAATGTACATCTGCCATTTTGACCGTTTTGAACCCCCTCCCCCTTGCAGATGCCCCTGTCTAAAACATGCCTTGTAAACTGAGGAAGTCATTATACAAACCTCCCTTTAGGCAGAAACAATTTCAGTCTATAGCCATCAGGCTTAGGCAGAGTGAAAATTGACAAAAAGAACAGCAGAAAATGCTGCTTAGTTTTTCACTTTAGTGGAAGAAGAACTCAGGTCACTCTCTGGCAGGCCAGTGAAATGTCTTGTAAAACCTGTATCTCTTGTACCCCTTTCATGGAAATAGAAGACCGTGCTCTGCTCTGCTGGATAAGGAATGTCCTGTTTGGTTCGGATTCTGACTTGGGTGAATCTCATTCAGCCCGTAGAGAACTACTGAAATTGAAACATTCAGATTTGCCTTCTGGATTTGTTGATATAAATCTAATGTGTCTAATTTCAAATATATGATCATTTCTTTGAGATAATGCCTGCATATATCTTCTAGTGTGGACATAAAAGCAATGCTTTACCACACAGAGAGTAAAGTATCAATAAAAGTATTTGAAATCCATGCAACCTACTTTTTTTCCTAATATAACATGAAAAAGGGTATTACAGAATATTTTTTTAATACAAGAAATAAATCAATAATCACTTCAAAGTCAGTACTGAAAATGAAACACGATGTGGTCTCATTCCAAGGCTTTAAATTTAGGCCTTAGAAACACTTTAATGGAATGTCTGCAGAACATAGACAGAAAACCACATTTCATTAAAATGAAAACTATATCATAAAGGGTTTTTTAAAAATATGTGTTATTATACCATATATTATTTTCAAAGTAAAACAATTCAAAACTGCTCAATATTTCAATGCAATTTACAATCACTTTTATTATTCTACAGAAGACAACCACCAGTGAATGAAAGGATTAAGTTATTTTGATTGGCCTAATAAAACATATTTTAAGAGCACACTATAGCCATACACTTTTTCCCTGTAATAGATAGAAAGGTATAGATATGGTTAGTTATTTGGGATGGCTGAATATAATCTAAATTGGATTTTGGTGGAAAAATATATGGCCCATAGAAGGACTTGTGACACCCAATAGAACTTTAGCTATAGCTTTCTATGCTATTTTTTTTAAAAAAACATGGATGTTTCAGTTGATTTCAGTGCATGGGAAGGGTGTCAAAACAGGCAAGATGGCAGAAGTGATGGAAGATTAACCCTTTTGTACATGTGTCCACATTGATTCCCCTTCCTTAAAAAAACAATTGTTTAAGGAACCAAGCCACTGCTTGTTTCATATCTGGCTGTTGACTGGCTAATATTGAAGTCTTCCTGATCTGCTGCTTTCCAGATGTGTTGGGATACAGATCGTATCATTTCCAGACATCACGGGCAACAGGCAACGACTGTCACCCAACTCAGCTAGGGGCTATGAGTTGGGAAAAAGCTGCTCGAGAATAGCATCAGATTAACTTGGCAGGCTAGATGGATTGGATCCGAGGGAGTTTCCACTGATGAGGCTGAACATGAGTTCTTTCACACAACAAGGCAAACTTAGATACTTAGAGTACAGGTTTTAAGGGGGAAATACTTGATGTAAAGATAGCAACTGGAAGTAATTTTAATGTTTGTAAATAATTTGATGTAATCACCAGTCAAGATGGAATCTAGAACCTAATACTGTTTTTACTGATTGTTTTTTGTATTTATTTTTCTTTTTTCTTTTTCATAAGATCATGTGCATTTATTTTAGATAATGATAAATAGTGGTGACATCAATATAAATAATGTTTTTAGAGTTTTGTGGTGATTTACAATTATTTCTCAAGATGATATAATGAGTAGTCTTATATATTCAACTAATTATTTAATCAATGAAATAATTGAGTTTAAATTCTTTGTGTATTTATTGATATTTTATTTTCCATCCACAATGTCCTTTCTCACGTTCTTTTTTTTTAAATGTAGTCATTTATATTATTCCTTAAACGTTTTAAAATAAAAAAAAGTAGAATTAAAAAATGAGTTCTCATAGAGTTTCACAGACTGTGCTTGCAAAATCTCTGTTGGGCAAAGTACACAAACACAAATGTCCCTGTTTTCTGCCATCGATACCCACAAAGAATACAACCCCCTTCAAATAATGCAAGAGAGGCTAGGTGTGATTTAAACTTCACATGACAAAGACCATAGCCAATTCTTCCTGTGGCAAATAAATCAATGTTTTCTTGGAATTAAAATATGTATGTACATGTTTTTGTAGGAATCCTGGGCCAATGAGATCTCCCAGATACAGATGCAGATGTTGGTTTCGTGGCTCCTAAGATTGCTGCTGGTGTAGCAAATGTTAAGACAAAGACATTAACATTGTAAAATGCTACCATGAGATTTTACAGATACTGCTACTTTATCCTAAACATTCTAGATACCATAATAAGCAAGGAGCATATAAAAAAATATGAATGTCGTTATATATATTGTATTACAGAGAGAAAACAGTACTCTTCATTTATAGTCAGATTACAAAACTCAGGAATATGAAACCTGTTTTAGCCATGTTTCACTCAGCTCACCAGCACCATCTGAACAGGAACCTCAGTTTATAGCATGGTAACTTGACCTAGAGCAAGTCTAGGTACACAAGTCTAGTAATAATCTGTTTTACCTAAAAGCCTGCCTGAGTTACACTGCCTTCACTATTGATCCTTATTCTGCTTCAGTAGTGAGGCCAGTGAGTTAAGTTCTCCTTATAGTTTTAATGCAGGACAGGTTAAGGAAATGGATTAGTGGATCCCTAAGCTTGTTTTTTCCTTGCGCTAAGTGTCCCCCGCTGGTCAGAGGAACCACCAGCCATCTCTGTCCTAATCATGTGGTGGTCAAGGGTTTTCAGCATGGATATTAAGCCAAGCTGCCAACAAACAGGATGCAGGTACAGAAGTTCTATACCTGTACACCTGTATACCTCTATACCTCTATTACTGGTCAGGCTACTTCTGAACATAAAAGACCCCTAAACCCTTGTCCAGAAATAGCTTGGTTGAGAGGTTGCACACAGAAGAAAGTTAAAGGGTGAAGCAGGAGGGAGAATTGACGAAGAGCAAAATCCATCCTTGACTAGAATGATGGTCCTGGTAGTGAGTGGCTGTGGCTAACAGCATTTCAGTATTGCCCATGAAGTAGGCCAAGTGGCGCACTCTTCCCCAAAATAGTAAAAACAGGAAAAAGTGAAATTGCTTGTCAAAAAATCTGTAATGTCTTTGGTAACAGCTAGCAGAACCCTGCTCTCTTTCCTCTTTAAATCAAGCTATGTATGACAGAGGTCTAGTGCTCTCCCAAGGGAGTGCTGGTCCTGCATTTTAATCATGGGTCTAGTGCTCTTTCAATCAGAAGAGCACTACACCCGTGCATATAAGGAGCCTGCGTAAGACCTGGCAGGAATGCGTTGGTCAGGCATCGCCCAGGCAAATGTCTCTGCAAACTAAAGGGTCTCAAATCAAACCAGCCATGGAGGGCAGCACACAGTGACTATATTCATTTATTTTATTCGATTTGGTGCTGCCTGACTCCCGAATGACTCTGGGCAGCTCACAGTACAATAAATAGAATATCAACAATATAATAAAAGCCTCCTCCTGTAGAAGGAAGGGTACCCGCAGCAGCTCAATGTGGCCAAGAGGGGCTAGGCAGATCTCAACTCCTGACTGAGATTTCAACCACAGCACTGATAAAGCTCTTAGACTGGGTCCCGAGAAGAGGACAAATATTACTCAAAACTAGAATGACTAAATACTACTTTAGGCTGCCTCAGCTGTAGGCTCAGGATGAGCTGCAGTTAGGGCAATGTGAAGACGAACTCTAAGAATAATAACCCCCCCTCCTCCCAAAGTACCTAGTACATAGAAAACTCAAACTCTCAAGGATTTGGAATTCTACCTCATGTTTTAGGCATAACCCCATACAAGGACATTTGCTGTAGAGATCCTCTGCGAAAACAGTGCTGTGCAACAGAATTTGCATGTGAGGCTTACAGAGAAGTGTCTTATTTTTAAGAGACTTATTTTTAAGCATCAACTATTCTGGTGAAAACTTTACCCAGTAATTGGTATGTTTCTATTTTCATTGATTATAGTTTATTTATGTATTTATTTGTCTAATTTATATAGCCGCCCATCTCACAAAGCCAGTGACTTTAATGGAGTTAAATCTGTAAAATATCAGATTTTGTCTGTTCCTACTGATACATTTTTAGTTATAGGAATGCAATACATATTGCACAGAAAACCATTGCCATCTTCATTTACACTGTCGTAAAATACTCATATACAACCACCCTAAATTCCCACATAAATATACTTTACAAACTAAACATAGTAGTTCCTTGAGATCACTTTAAAAGGCAATGTGCTATTCAAAGCGCTTCATCGTGGATGTTGGCAGCTCTGGGTGCTGTTTTTGCACAATGATAGGGTGAAGTCCCTTCTTCTTAAAAATCTTGCAGAAATCGGGGGGGAGGCCTTTCTTGGCAACACATCTATTCTTTCTAGCACCAGGCTGAGGAAATGTCAGGTCATCTTTGTAGGACATTGGGAAACAGCATCAGGAAGACTATATCAAAGTGCTAAAAATGGATGTGTTATCTTTTTATTTCATCCTTTGAGAAATGTTGCCAAACATTTCCAGTTTGAGAAATACTCAGTTGCAAAAGAAAAATTCAAAACATTCCCCCCCCCGAATATTGTTCCATTTCATTCTGTCAAAAGTAATAACTTTTCCCTTTGTATATTTTACTTAATGTGAAGAAGTTTCCAAAGGAATGGACTCCTACCAAAAAAAAAATAAATGTAGATGTATAGCAGGAAGCTATCAAGATAAGGAATCTAATGCTCTAGAAGAACTCTTTTTTTTTTTTCTTTAGGCCATTCTTGATCCCTGGTCTGCACAAGTCCATGCAGTTTTCTTGGCAACATTTTTCAGAAATGGTTTGCTTTTACTTCCTTCAGAGGGCTGAGAGTGACTCATCCAAAGCCGCCCAGCTGACTTTCTGTCTTAGGTGGGCCTAAAACTCAGAGTCTTCCAGTTCCTAACCCTGTGCCTTTAACCGCTACTCCAAACTGGCTCTCCTAGAAGAACATTCATACATTAAATGTTATTATGGTCCTACAAGTCAGTGTTGACTCCTGGTGACTACATAGACAGGTCCACGCAGTTTTCTTGGCAACCTTATCAGAAGTGGTTTGTCAGTACCTTCTTCTGAGATGTTTTTCAGCTTCCTAGTCTAGAACTCACAGAGAGTGACTGGCTCAAAATCACCCCCTTGGCTTTTGTGCCTAAGAGAGGACCAGAACTCATGGTCTCCTTGCTCCTAGTCCAGCGCTTTTAATGCTACACCAAACTGCTTCTCATTAAATGTGCCCTCCCTTTATTTTCAGACTCCTCCTTTATTGTGCAAAAACGAGTGCCACATAATGCAGGAGAACCTGGATTTGGGGTAGAGACTGATAAGCTACTTTGAAGAAAAAATACTTCTGAAAGTTGAGTTAGAAAATAATTAGAAGCTGATGAAACATTTCCCCTTATATTTCAAGGACTGCGGGCTTCTCAGGCAGCCCTACTAGAAGGATAGTCCTGTTTGTGTCAGGTGACCACTGAAAGTCAGTGATAGAAGCAAAAGCTGTAATCCTCTGTTCTCACATTTACTTAAGTGCCATTTAACCAAACAAGTCTTGCTTCTGAGTAGACACATGTTGGATTGCATTATAAGCCTGCAGCCCTATGACCTGGGAATTCATGATCTGAATCAACATGCATAGTTAGTCTTTGAATACTCCATGCATATGGTAAAAATACCACTGTGCTGAGATGCAACTTACACAGTACAACCGTTACCTATTCAGCAAGGCAAAGATCCCTTGGCTTCCCTGGGGAGAGGAGTGGAAGAGTATATTGTGCATTTTCATGTTCCTCACAGACTATGGGGTGGGGGTGAGGGAGAACTCTCCTAAGACTTAGCTTGCCTGCAGCTGCATTGCTGGCTGAAAAAAACACACACTTTTAGCTCTTACCTTCAGACATCTGTATGTTTGCTTGGGGAATGGAGAGAGGCAAAGGCAGGCAGACTAACTGCGATATTGGATTACCTAAACTATGCATTGAACCATTTGACTGTCAGGGGTTCATTTGCCATATGAGCTATAAATACAGTATCTCCAAAGAAACTGCCATCCAAGGAGATAAGAACCCCCAGCATCATTACAAGTGCCAGCCTTTTAAGGCATCACTGAAGACAAGAACCCAAATTGGCCATGGAAGGGGGCAGTTGGTCTGGATCTTCCATTGCGCTAGTCTATCTATATCTAAGTGTACGCTGTGATAAGCAATGCTTGGAAAACCAGCAGGTTTATTGAGGCAGACACTTTTGTGAGCTGGAAACCATTTCATCAGATGGCATTAAAGGGTCCATTACCATGTTCCACTTCATGTAGGTTAAGGTATATTTGCACATTATGCTACTTTGGACTATGCTTTGCTGAACAAGGAAGGAACAAATCAGAATCAGTCTGGAAGAAAAGTCAAACTAATCATGGCTTTTTCAGGCAACTCTCCATTGCTTCTGCTTATAGGTAAAAGAAATTGGTAGAGCAAACAAACCTGGAGCAAGCCAATATTCTGGACTGAGGTATAATGTTAAGTGATGGTCAAAGTAAGCCAGAATTCATAAAGCAACAATATTTTCAAATTGATGTTATTCAGAAAGAAGCATAGTTTCCTTTTAGGAGTGGATTTATGCATCATAGTAAGCCAAAAACAGACAAATCGTGTTTTGATTCAACTCTAGTTTTTGAACTTATATTTCGGCTTTCTCTTGTTCCTAAAAAAAAAAAAAAACACCTACAGTAGTATGTTCTCCACTCCAGAACAGGATGATGGTACAACTGAATAAAAAGAAGGGGAGGGGGAAAAAGAATTCCAGCCATATTTTCCCCAAATCTTCTTTTGCAGTCCCATCGGCTTTTTTGATTTTGTTTAATCATCAAATACAGAAGGCGTCTTCAGGGGTGGAAGATGTTAATGATGCTGATTATTATGTTACAACATACTGACTTGGTTCACACAATATGCTTATTCTTGATTCACGTAACCATTATTTATGAAATACAGTATACCCAATTTGGTTGTTCACATGTGAACTAAGCACATGAACTATATTTGGGTAAGATGCTAGCTTAGAATGTGGTTGGCTTCCCTGTGATTCAATATCTCCTATGAAATGGCTGATTCCTCCATACCAGGGTCACTATTTGAATCACACTTGCTGTACTGTAGCTTTTAAAAAGAGGTGATGCATTCAAAGCATAGGATTTTAAAATAATAATACTCTTTGACGCATCCTTATCTAGGAATTAATCCTACTGAATCCTGAAGGGTTACTTTTTGGTAAATAAACTGAAATTGCATGCTTGCTTGAAAATAAATCTCTTTGAACTTAGACTGATTTCAGGCAGAGTAAATAAGCTGCTTAAAGTATTTTAAATTAAATTAAGATACCCTCATGCAAGAAATATTGTGACTAGACAGTGATAGCTCAATCACATATATTTTCAATTTTACCACATGCTCCGTTACAATGTATTTCAATGATTAAACCTATTCCATTTTGAATTGTTGAAGAAATGCAGGTCTGGGTAAGGCTACCACATCTGGGCTGCAAAGCATGGGAAGACCTCAAGAGGGCACCAAAGAGATACAGGAAACTTTGCTACCACCTACTTGTAGTCTTCAGTTTTTACAGTCCAGATATGGGATCCCTGCTGGGTGTACGACTGCTAGCTGGTATCATCCAACAGGTTTACATGGCTCATGTTATTTTCACCCAAGATAGAATAGTACTACATATCAGTACATCAGAGACTTGACAGAATGCTTGTACCATACCTACCACTCTCCTTTGGAACAGTGCTCCACCCAAGATCAGATCAGCACCAGCCCAGGAGATACTATTTGGAAAAGCCATGAAGATCTGGCTACTTCAGAAAGCCTTTGGGGATGGGCACAATGGTGGGTTCCCTTGTCGTATGGGCACAGTGGTCATAAAGAGTCATTCCTTGGTGTGATGATGCATAGGAAGGTTGATTATTGTTCTTATTTTGCTGCTTTGCATTCATTTTTTATCTAGTTTTTATCCCCATGTTTATATTATTTTGAAAGCCGCTTTCAGCTTTGTTGGATTGATCAGCATATACACTGTAGTAAATAAGTAAATAAATAAATAAATTACTGTGCCAAATGCAAACCAACCATGAGATGATCATTGCAGTGCAGGAATCCAACCTATATATCTGTTCCCATAACCTGTTTATCCGTGATTAAGTGAATCATGGTTTATTAAATTAATTCAATGTTCTGGGTTTGAACAAGATATCAGACCATAAGCTAACCACACAGACTGGGTGCACATATCATGCTAGGCCAAAAATGTGCCTGGCTAGTTTGGGGTTTGGTATAATGCACAAATACAGCATTTTATGTTTAAGGCCTAGTTTGACCTTTAAACAGCATGTAAGCCTTTCTTACTACCTATGTTAATATCTTATCGTTATAGGAGACAAAACAAAGGAGAGGCACATGTAAAGCAAACAAGTCTTCTTATCAGGGTAACGAATAAATCAAGTGTCACTTTAAGCCGCATTTGGCAAAGTTCTGTAAGTCTTAAATACTTTGAGAGAGAAAAGCCTATCCATATATATCTCCAAGTTCAAGATCTAGTGTTACTTAGTGGTTACAGCAGTAGCAGATATATCTTCTTTCCGCCACAGGCCAAAGTTTTGCAACTTCCTGACAAAGATGTAGCCCTGTTTTTGGTGTGAGATGAACCTCTAGATCATGCTTCTGAATCTCAGCAACTTTAAGATGTATGGACTTCAACTCCCAGAATTTCCCAGCCATCCACTCTGGAGAATTCTGGAAGCTGAAGTCCATACATCTTAAAATTGCCATGATTGAGAAACCCTGCCCTAGATGGGGTTTCCCTGCTCATGATCAAATGAAGTCCCTCAAGACAGGTTATGTCACCAGGCCTGGAGGTCCCAGGGAACCAGGGACGTGTTTAGATGGCTCTACTACTGAGGTGGATATACTCACTCTCTCTCTCTGCCTGGGGTTGTATATTTTTAATTTTAATAACTTTAAATTTTTAATGTTGACTTTTTATATTTTTAAATGCTTGTTTTATATATGTGTTGTTTTTTACTTGATTATTGTACACCACCTAGAGTCATTTCTTGTGAGATGGGCGGCTATTTAAATTTGATTAATCCACAAATAAATAAATATAATATTTGATCATGGAAAACCCTGCTCATGATCAAATGATGTCATGACTATGAGTTTGCAACTGAGTGGAATTTTGATTTATCCCCACTGTTTCCATGGATGTGGACTGTCCTCTGCAAGGCAGCTGCCCTCTCCAAAATTGATAGACCATGAAGCACATACATATACTCAAACAATCCACCCCTTTCCAAGATGGCTTGTTCCCTGGGGAAGAAAAGGGGGCTTTACTTCTCTGGCCTGCTCAGAGGAAAGTCAGTTCCAGCTAGTCTATTGCTAATTTATTCTGGTCAATTTTACCCCTGCTTGCTTTGTCTATGCTCTTAACCTGCAGGAAGAATTGCAAAGAAGGGAAGAAGGAGAACAGATCTGCAGACAATCAAAACAGCCTGGAGGCATCTCAGGTGCAGTTTATATCCAGAAGTCCCTCAAGACCTGGTTATGTCACCAGGCCTGGGGGTCCCAGGGAACCAGAGACGTGTTTAAATGGCTCTACTACTGAGGTGGATATACTCGCGCTCTCTCTGCCTGAGGTTTGTATATTTTTAATTTTAATAACTTTTAATTTTTAATGTTGACTTTTTATATTTTTAAATGCTTGATGTGTTGTTTTTTACTTGATTATTGTACGCCGCCCAGAGTCAATTCTTGTGAGATGGGTGGCTATATAAATTTGATTAATAAATAAATATAATATTTGAATTAGAAAAGATGGGAGATGCAAAAGCAAATCATTCTGAACTTCTCTTTGATCATTTTGTTCCGACACCTTGGGGGCTCGACATCATTAAAGGGGATGAGTGAAGAATAATAAATCTTATTTTAAAAAATTATTTCAGATATATGTGTGGGTCTCTCTCTCTCTCTCTCCCCCTCCTTGATACATTAAGCCTGAGACTTAGCATACCTATTTGCAATTTTTAAAAATGTGGATTTCAACAGTCTGACATCACATTTTGGCAGCACAATCCCAGGATAGACTCTGTGGTCTGCAAAAAAAAAAGGGGGGAGGGGGGCTGGGAAGCCATATGTAATATGTGGACAGAGATTGCTCATTCAGGTCTTAGTGTGTTGGACTGAGATTCAGCTTATAGGTTTCATGGCTGAATAGGGATCTGAGATATAGAGTTGACCCCAGACCAGCTAAAGTTGTGAGATAAAATGTAGGCATGCTACCCGTATGCTACCTTGAAAGAAATCAAGATACAAATGTAATATAAATTGTGTTTTTTATAGCAGTGATGCCTTGGTGATCATTAAAATCAGATTTCAGGCACATTTGACAATGCATTTTACTGTTATTCTAAGATGTTTAATTTAAGTCAGAAAGCAAGAAGGGTTTATTTTTTTGGTGCCAGGATTGATTCTAGGAAACAGTCCTCTGTGTCAACGGGAGAATATCCAAGGAACAAATAGCAGATACCTCCATAGCTGGTATGGAGAAAGATGAGAACGGTCTGACCTGAGTAGCTCTGACAAGTTCATATCAGAATGCACTGACAGAATGCCACATTCTTCATCTAGGAGGAGAGCTTGCCAGCAAGATACCCTTGGTAAATTGGCATCGCTCTCCCACTGCTTGTGAGAGTTCATAAGGTTAAATTCTGCACTGTGGTGCTACTGTGTCTTTAATGTCGTGAGTTTAAAAACAAGATCTTCAAACATAATATACTAGTACTGTAAGGGATTATGGTAGAGAATGTAGCATACAGACATTACAGCACTGGAAGATCTTATGGCTTAGAATGTACTTCACTCTCCTGGCTTTTTCTGTTGTGGTTGCTCTAATCAGTCTCCAAAGAATATATTGGCCTTGTTCCCACAATTCAAATGGCCCAGTCATCTGCTCTCCCAGTCAGTAGATTCACCATTCTGTAATGGCAGCACTTGATTAGGAATGACTCGATCTGTACTGCAGTGGTCCTCCTAACTACAGGGAGACCATAACTTCCTGTCCTGTCC